AGAAGAAGAAGAAGAAGATATAAAGTGTCTTGCTGATTCATCTCAGTTCCAACTATGTTAAACAAACAGACTGTCTGCCTGGAAACTCAGATAATTTACAGAGCTCAAAGACAGCAAGCTCATGATTCAAATTCTCACAATTAATGTAACATTGACATTACAGTTATTGAATTAGCTTTTCTGAAAACGAAAGATTAGCTGCACATTCGATAAAAGAGAGAAGAAAGTGAGTGAGATCCAGTGTTGGCCTTCACCTCGTGATGTACTGCTGGATGCAGTCGAAGCTGCCCTGGGGGTTATCTCTGCCCACATTTGACAGGTAGAAAGTAAACGTTTGCAGTTCACTGGAATTTTCTGACCGTGGTATCGAAATTTTCTGTTAAAGACAAAGAAAAAAACAAACATATGAAATCAACATGAGTTCCTGTTCTAAATGAATTGATGTCAGAAAAAAGCCTCCAAGTTCCTACCTTCCTAATAAATCAAAATTTTCAAGAACATTTTCCAAGAAAAATGGCCTGTATCTTATCAACATCAGTGAGAGACTTTTCAGGCAAGAACTAAGAAAACAAAAACTGCACTCCACATCCTATTTGTAGACTTAAATGCCCTTTTCTTTCTCTGACGTTTTCAGTACTATAAACAAATGCCAATGCTGTATACTTGGAAAACCTGGCTCAGACAAGGCAAAGTTGTGAATGAGCCCAAGGTATTTTCTTGCCAGCTTAAAAAAAAACCTCACAAAATGCAGTTTAAAATCTACTGCCATATCTTCTTCCAGCTTATGAGTGTTCCTAATTGTGTTCCCAATGTGTGGCTGGAGGAGGAGAGGGTAAATTATTATAACAGAAGAACTATGATAGGTATTTCTGCAGTTTCTGGCATTCAACAGATATATTATGCACATCCTTTTCCACCCCCAGAATTACCTTCCTCCCACATTACAGGTGCGAACTGTTAAAAGACTTCACAGGAAGTGTGGTTAACCACTGTGAACTAGTGCAACCTATTTCTCTAAACCTCTAATCACCAGCAAACTGCCAGACACTTAATCATTTGACCAGTGAGTGACAACTGGGATGCAGATGTTGCATTCTTGCTTAAAAATACACCTTGCATAATTACAGTTAGGCACTGGGTGAAAAGGGTACATTTGGAACATTTGGAACATTTTTAATGCAGTAGTCGGTAATCTTCTTAAAGAGAGGTGTAAAAGAGAGCAGAAAAAGCACAGTGCGACACTGAAACCTTGCCTCGCCACTCCAAACTACCTGATTTCAACTCAAAACCAGTTTAAACAGCCTATCATTAGAATGTGTATTCAAGAGTAATTTCATTTGACGGAGTCTTGTAGAGAAAAACTCCAGTTAGAGTAGTTTCAGACTAGAAACTGGCAGAGGGTTGTGTTTCCAGGAGGGCCTGGCAGGTTGACCCCCTACTGTGCTCTGTTTTCCTGAACACGAGTTCAAGTGGTGTCACAGGCAAGGACTCTGCATTACACTAAGCCAGGGTAACAAAAGATGGCTGACGTTACCAATTAGATTAGTACCCCAGTGCAGGTCCTCTAGACCAGTGAGCAGCTCATTTCCAGTGACCTAACCTAGTTCAGAGGCTCAGCCTGTGACTCACCGCTGCGACTGACATGTGGTCTGACTGTGGGCAGCTCAGCTCTGTTTACCAAAGGTCTCGACACGTGTGACTGGTGCAGGTGGCCACTATAAATAAATACAATGTTCTTTATTTGCCCTCGTGTTCTCAGTTATCAATAATGCTCCACGCCTATGGAACATAACACACACTGCCTCTGCTGTAGTCTAACTCTTTGAGATACAATTTGAAAGGACAAACTATGATACTATAGTATATTGTCATTACTATTGCCGTCAATTAACACAGGATGAAGACCTCCTACACCAAAAGGTTGTGGACTGCACACTACGATATTCAAGTACATACACACTCATCACAGCAGGAGGTGGAGGTGGAGCAGTTTTTGGCAGCATTGGTGGAAAAAAACCCCCACAAAAATCTTTAACCCCATCACAAAGGACAGCCTGGAACCTTGTGATGAGCTCTGTGTAACAAGATATGTCAACATTATAAGTTCTGAATGTTCTTGCCCTTTATTTTTTGGGACTATTTTTTGACTGGCTGCTCCATCCCTGTCTCTTGCCCAACAGGAACTACTACACCTACACAGCATTCTTCTCTAAGTCCTACATTATGTTTAAAGCTACATCTAAGCTACGGATGTCAACCAGCCAGTGATGCCACTGCTAGCAACAGAAAAACCAGTCATGGCACTATTACCCACCTATCCACACGTATCTCGGCTTTAATGTGAATCACAGCCAACAGAGAAACACCAAGAAAGAAAAGCAACTCGCGCACACAGTTTGCGGATGTCTTTTTAGATGGCTTACTCCAGGATCATTCAATCTCTTGCAATTTAGTTTTTGCTGTATGAGGGTGTCACCGCGGTGAAAATGACAGTGTAGGAACGCTGTAGCAGTTTGAATACAGGATAATGCTTACTTGTGGGAAGGTCGCCAGTGACATAAGCTGCACTGTGCCTTGGTGTCGAAAACCATCTGAATCTACAGCTGGTAGAATCTCATTACTGTCGACACTCTTGCAGAAACAGATAGGTTGAGTGTGTGAATCCAGAGATGATTAAGAGGTAGAGGAACTAACTGAAAGGCAAGGCACTGGGGGAGTGACTCAGTTGACTCACTGACTCACATCGTAGAGGATGAAAGACGCTCCTCCACACCAAATGGCTCAGGATCTGGTTGAACAAACTAGTGAGTGTTGCAACCACAATGTTCTACATTATTTTACTCAATCATAAAAGGGTACAGTTTCTAAAGAAAATGGGTCATCATTAAGATGAAAGCTGACACTCCCTTGTTTGTCGTTAGTGAGTGGGGCTTTTCTCTAGTTTGTCTTTACTGTGACTAGACTGCACAACAGTCTCTTTGTGCGCTGTGAGACCGGGTGCTGCTAACAAGCCATTTCATTGCAAAGCTGTATGGGGGCATTTTTTGATGCTTGAAATTTAATTTGTCCATGCTTTTGTGTCTGCGGACCCCGTTGAAAATAAGATGGTGCATCTCAAGTAAAAAAAAAAAAAAAATGGATAAGTAATGTAGAATCGACATTATATGATGTATTCAACAATTTATCAACTTTCCAACACACCGATGACGAATCAGTTGATCCAGTCTGGCAAGAATATGATGTCAAGCACTTTTCTAAACTGTACTGGTCCACCCTGAAATACAACAGGAGGTAATCTAGCTGTGGATACTCCAACTTCAAGTTAACATTCTTTTGTAAACCCAACTGCTTTCTTCTCCTAGGAAAAACTAAAAACCCCTGTGTTAAAATCCGCTTAACTTGTAAATTGAAAACGCAACAGCATCTGTTAAAGTCTTTATCAGAGCTTCAAGAGCTTTAGCCTGCTGTTGCCACAAAACCGAGACAGAACAGAGCAATGGAAAAAAGCAGAAGAGCACACATTAAAGAGTCTGGAGAGATTACTTAAAACACTGGATGAAGGGCAAGGACTGACAATGAAACACAGCATCTCTACAAGTAATAATCCCCTTTATACATAATTGTCTATGGGTGGAAGTGGATTTTGAACAGGTTGTCCAACCACCCCGCCTTGTTTTGCCTGCAGCTAGCCTAATCTTCTAATTCAGCATGGCATCTAGCAAACAATGCCTCTTTTCAGGTTGGGGTCGTTGGAGAGGGCCGACCCCCACGCACTTCGTCTAGTCCTCTCTCCAAGGCCAGGGGAGAGAGAGGGAGCAAAGAGACCAAAAACAAAATCAGACAGAGACAGAGATAGAGACCTGACACACAAACACAACATTAAAGATTATTGAATGTGTTGACTTTTCAAGTACTTTGCTTCAGGCAGAACGCTCTGTAAAGACTGCAGTGATCAACAGACTTTGAAATGGCTTTGTCAGACTGTGACTTGTGGAAGACAAAAATCTAACTAAAGGATGACATTGGTGATTTGCTACGCTGAAAAGCCACTGAGGAACCTCTCGCTCTGACTGCCTCTGCCACCAATTAAACATGCTACATGGCCCAACAGCTGTGGATAGAGGTCGACTGGTGTCCGTGGTACCAGATACATTATAAAATCGATATTTAGCCACATACGCTCAACGATGGCCTAATGGCAAAATGTCATCCTTGTTGGCCAGAATCAGAGTGAGCGAGTCCGAAACAAACAGCAACTCAGGCAGAAAGACGGTGGGGGTCGAGTGTGAGAGAAGTACAGAACATCTCCATACACTCATTGCTACAGGCTACGTATTCAGCGATAATAAAAGGAAGCATGTATCTGAAACATAAAATATGCAAACAGAGTGCTTAAAGTCAAATCAACAGCCAGAATGAAATGTGCAAGAGAAACAGCAGAGAGTGAATACAAGCTTCATTGACGGTGTTTCATTTCATCTTTTGTATATTTTTAGTCTTTAAAGTCTTTCCTTTCTAAAAAAGGTACAAGAAACTTGTTATGTGTGAACTTAGTCAGAGCTCAGGGAGAGCTGTACAAGATGAATGAATATGAGTTAATGAATGTGGGATCTAATTGTGACAGCCAGGCCATCTGCTCTGTAATTTAGCCACTTTCCAACTTCTGACTAGCATTCTGATCTCGTCAGTAACAGATTTCCTTCACGGTGAGCCTGTTGCATCAGTAAAATACATCCATTGCTTTACCATTTCAACAGCCTCAAAACATCAGATAATGAACATCAGGTCTACCATCTGACTAAAACTGACAAACATGACTTCACATGACACATATGCATGTATTACATGTGTAGATAGGCTTTCAACACATTTAATGTCTGCTAAAAAGATGGAGATTTAAAGCCAGTTAATGAAAACTCTTTCTACAACAGTCTTATTATTATTATTATTATCATCATCAGATTATCTGCCCATGCAGACAAACTCAACCTGTTGGTACAGATACAATTGATTCTTAGAAAAATGGATTTTTCCTGATGATAAATCATTAAGTGAAATAGATTGAAAGATTGCGTCTGGCTCTATGCAGGATTGCAGTGTTCTGCACTACACTGTTCCCAATTTTACACAAAAGCATGACAGTAGGATGGCAGCATCAAACGTATCAAGATGTGTGTGTGGATAATGAATGCCACTTATTGCAACACTCAATGCAGAGTGGCAGCTTATATAATGCCTTTCTATTATAAATGCAGCAATCATTGACCATAACAAAAAATACACAGGCCTGAATTACACCAATGATCATATCAAAGTCTTACAGTCATATTCTTTAAAACAACGTGCACATAAAACAATGACGCGTTGAACAAATTAGTCATGCTGCTGCTGTCCGAGGCTTGCAAGCTGTTTGTGTTACACTGCAGTATCGTCAGGATGAAGTGTTGGCAGGTGTTGTGCTATAATGTGAGAGTTCAGCTGTTTGTAAGCAGTTTTTGCTTGTTATCTGTGTGCCGAGTGTCAACTTTAAGAGTAATGTACCTGTTATGTACCTGTAGGTCACAATGTAAACAAGCCACTGCTCTGATTAGTTCCTCCAGCACTCCCAGCTTTTTACCCCTTTTCCATGTGTGGGGATGTACTAACTATTAAATGTTGATGTATTAGACGAGATGTGATCCAATATAATAGGCACAGCTCCTTGTTCTTGCGGTGTCGTAATTAGCCAACATTTTTTGTTTGCCATTTCATCAATATTCAGCCACTCTTACTAGAAAATATATATATTTCCCAATGTCACTGCTGAAATGTGGCAACTCTAAAGCTTCAAGAGGAAGCACTTTAGGGTAAACAACACAACGATCCTCCTTAGCAAATGGAGAAGTTTATATGCTGAGTCTTTGGGTAAGACCAGTGTAGTAAGCAGTCATTAATCAATAATTAATCAACCTTCTGAACCAAGGACCCACATTCAGCCTGTATTTCTCAATATGGTGCCAACCTGTGCGAGAACATTTTATACTACAACTGATGTCCTATGTGAGCTGTGACACTAGACGAGGGCATCTTTAGGAGTGGAGGATTAAGACAGCTGTCAAGACCAATACCATAAAGATGCTAGAAATCCTCTGTTGGAGGCATTGTGATCATGTACAAAGAGCCTATTAAGACAATGTTTTGGACAAAGCTGGATAGCCAATTAAAACTTTGTACCTAAGGCAAAAATCACTAAATGAACCAGCCGTTGGATGACACACCAAACTGAAACGTGACAGCACACCAGTTCTGCCAACGCTAGTCAGGCTAGGCAGGCTCGCACATGCAAACCCTGCCTTTTCCCATGCAGGACGCAGCTGCTCAGAGAATGCTTGTAAGCACACAGGTTTTATGGTCTTCATGGGGACAGTTAATTGCTCATATAGAAAGAGTACTGGCACCCTAGTGTGAGTTTGGCCATTATCATAAACAGGAAGAAAGGAGCACAGTTTCTATTCTAGGATAGAAAAACGATCACACAATCTATTTAATTGCTACAACTTCTGTTTCCTCACCAAGTCAAACTTTTATTGAGACAGGCAGAGGTAACTTTGAAGTTTTTTTTTTCCAGCTTTTATGCCTTTATTTGATAGGACAGCTGGAGACAGACAAGGGGGCAGAGAGAGGGGATGACACGCAGCAGAGGGCCGCAGGTCGGACTCGAACCCTGGGAAGGACTCAGCCTTGGTACGTGGGTCGCCAGCTCTACCCACTGAGCCAACCGGGCGCCCCAGGCAGAGGTAACTTTAGCGTTTAGCTTTGCTGCGGTGGTGGTGAATAACACCACCACAAACACCTGCAGCTTTCAGTCTGCTGTCTCAAGCTTGCTTTGTTTCCTCAACTGTTCTGATTACGGCCCTCGCTTTATAACTGAAGCTGTTATTAATATTACATTAACATAATGACACTAGACAGTGGGCCACAAACAAGGTCTCAACAACTGAAAGCAGCCTTTAATCGGATCCAATTTCTAAAACAACATTTGGAAATCATCAGTCCTTCAAATCACTCTACAGTTTCCTTGAGATGTCTCAGAGAGACTAGTGCATTAGGATCCAATTTCATCATGAGCCAGAGTTCCTACTATGGACAGAAACATGAGTGTAAACATGAGTGTATTGACAGAAAACAAGTATTTTGCAAAGAATACAAGCAAACACGATCTATCCTTCATCTCTCTATACGACACCCACACCACGTAGTGGGAAAGACATACTGACAGAACAAGTTATTGAGAGCAGTGAACCTGCCCTTTTAGGTTCAGAAGAATGTTTCCTGCCATGCAAGAGATGAAGAGGGGCCTCGCTGACATTTGGCACATTTAGGAGCCAAAACTAAATAAACCAAAGAGGCTAGAAAACATTGCCTAATCAGGCTTCAGTGACAGTAGCGCATTAAGACCAAGCAATGTTGACACAGCACATGACACGTGTGGCAAAAAGTACATCATTAAATTCAGAACAGCTTTGCAAGCATCTTTCTTGCTGCTCTCTGAGGCAGCCACTTTAAGACATGGCACTGAAGTGTCATGTTGGAGGGGGGGAGGAATAGCTAGCTTGCAGCTGACACCAGTGTTGGCATAATCATATGTCTTGTTTTAAAAAAGTGTGTATGTAAGTTGGCGTTTGAACTTCCACATATTCTCTCTCAAAAATCTGTTGTTGAGCCGACACCTTAACTTTGGAAACACGTGTTAGCAGCTAACCGTGGTGATTCAGCAGGCCGACTGTAAAAATACCCGATGAAATGAACACTTTTTATTATTTTAATTCACTCTAAACAACACTGTATGTACTGGATTATAGGAGACAGTGAAACATATTCTTACCCCTTGGTTTCCATTAAACCTGATCAGTGGTCGTGATGACAGGACCTGGAAAAGACAAATAACAGCATGGTTAAATAATTGTGACCATAAACACGTGAAAATATTCAATTCAGGCAAAGTTTTTGTTTTCTTCCCTTGTTTTTTTTCTTTGGGGAAGAAGACCTGGTGCCATGTCTATCCAAGCTCCTACATAAAACAGTTCAACACTGGCTGACCGAGAAAGATTTACATAAAAACCTTTGTTTCAACGAGATGTTAGCCACACAGACAAACCACAATTTTAATATAATTTTCTATTCAAAGTTATGAGAGTACAATTTCAAATTTGCATAAGACCAGTTCACATGAACACAAATACTCCCGGGTTTCAGTACAGCGTGTACCCAATTTCTACAGGCCGAGCCTACTAACAAGAACTACTCGCTTTGATCATTTATCTTGAAATATGTCCTATTCAAGAACACAGTTTTATAACTACAGATAAACATTTCTTACATCTATGAAAAATACTCATGAAAATAAAAATAGAGTATATGTGATTGGTAAGATTTTCTCCAGTTTGAATACACTTTGAATCTTTCCGTTGCTCTGCCCATTAAATGAACCCACTGAAAATGTAAGGACTGCAACGTAAGACCATCATCTTCACTTCATTTCCTCTTCAAGCTAAACCACTTAGCATGTCTGCCGTCACCTGACAAACACAGACACTGACTGTGTGAGCTGATGTCCAGTCAGCCAGGCACCAATAGCTGGAGCTCACCACGGACATTTTTCAAATATTTTCAGACACAGAAGCTTCCCAAATAAGACTCAGATAAGTCTGGCCATCATGTGACAGAGTAATGCAGTCATTATAACAGCGGTTAAACATGTTAATGGTTAACATTAAGAGCTGAAACGATTACTTAATTGCCAACAGAAAATAATCAGAAACTATTGAGTCATTTTTCCAGCAAAAAGGCGAAACATTCCCCAGTTTTAGTTTCTCAGTTGTGAGAATCTGCAGGTTTTCTGTGTCTTATGTAATAGTTAATTTAATATTGATTTTGGACTGTTGATCGGACAAAACAAGACATTTTACGAAAAAAACTTTCAGCAGATTAAATCGATAATGAAAATAATCATTAGTTAGGCCAGGAAAACACTTTTTATACTGTGGATAATCAATTTTTAAACGTCAGACGGCCTATTTATATAATAAATCATAATAGACAGAAAAATGACGTCCTTCAAGTTATGTCAGTTTTGGAGATGCAGGAAAAGAGGAAGGGCTGAACAGAGTTTCCACTTCGCTTTCGGACGTATTCAGCGGTTTCAGTATCACATCCATGGTAGTGGGGGTTTCAGTTTATCCTTTAATTTCTTATAACTCAGAATCAGTTTCAAACGGAGTAAATCAAAGAGGCCGCAGCACTGTAATTCCCCTAAGCAAAGATTTTACAGAAAGGCTACAGATAGAGCGGGACATTTTAAAAACAAGTTGTTGCCAAACGAGGTAAGCAGAAGCAACCAATGGTAAACAGAGTGGTCCGATTCTGGTTGATTCTGGTTGACTGGAGCAACTGGACAGCCGTTACTGTTCGGCCCAATGCTTTACACTAATGTTGGCTGTATCCGTTACAATGTAAAGCTGATGCTGATGTTCATGCCAAGACAAAGCAGCAACAGAGAGCAACAACAAAAACAATCTGTCTTTGCAAAGTCAACCTAAACTGTATCTTCATCTATCTGTTTAGTTTTAGGCTGTGGTGTTGAATATAACCTTTTCCCCCCAAAAAAACCTTTTATTAAGGAAATGCTACCGAATTGTGAACTATGAGAGGAATAATTTTTGGCATTTCACTGACTGTAGGAACTAAACACTTATGAACATCAAAAGGAGGAAGTTACTCCACCGACTTCTTCCTTGGTGCTACTTTAGCGGATCAAGTGAGAGAGCGACGAGTTGAAGGGAGGGCAAGCCTGTTAAAGACACAATGTGCTTTGTGTTCCTGCCTGATCCAGACCCACAGATATGGAGCATGCATACAATGACTGGTCAGTTTCTGTCCTCTGTGCAGCTTCACTAAACACTGTAACTTCCTATTTCTTACGTCCAAAGTCCACGACTTTAAAACAGGCGACTCTCACATCTTATAAATACAGATGTTAAGTAACAACTGCATTTGAACAAAGGAACATGAAGCCGTGGTTTCGAGGTCCCGCCCATACACCCAGCCGACTCAAGCTGTTAATCATGATGTAAAACCCTTTTTATAGTATCACTTAACTAATTAAAAACCAAACTACCTAAAATGACAGAAACAATCTTTGGGACAATTTCACCATCTAATCCTGCCAGTGGTGAAATCTTTCAATTTGTACCATCACTAATTAGACTAAGTACTAATGTGTACTGTTATTACTATTACCACTAATAGTATATAACTCAAAATCATTTCCAACAAGTTGGGAAATTATTCAATTTGTTGAATTAATTTTTATGTTTGGTACAAAAAGTCCAATCTTAAAGTGTATCTCAGCTTCTGTTTGTTTGTAGTTTGTTGGGATTATTTGTGATTACCGGACTAAGTAATGATGATGGCCTCATAATTAGATGTGTCCTCTCACAGTAATGCAAAAGCTTTTGAATCAAATTGTAGACCAAATTGTTTTTTAGCCACACTAGAGGAATGGCTCAGTCCGGATGGCTCGCTGGACATTACATAGACATTGACGTCCCCCACAGGATAACGCCTCCAAGCTCCAGTGACCCCCTGCCTCAACCTCCAGTCCCACATTAGGTTAACATTTGATTCTTTGGTCAAATGTCTCAGCAACTATTGGACGGATTGCAGCAACATTTGGTCCATTAATGTTCCTCCTCACAGGGACAATAAAAATAGCCCCTGTGACATAAAGACACAGTGTCTTGGACAGCAGAGAAATGCTTCAGTCCAAATAAAAATGATGTATATTCCACACATACATCATTTTAATTATTAGCTGCTGAAATTTGAAAAATGTGAAGTGGCACTGGCACGAGCTCTATGCTACGTCAGATGCACGCTTACATATACAAAACTGATCACAGAAAGAGACCGGGGTTGCAAACATGGCAGTTTTCTTGCTAGATTTAGGAACTTTTAAGAGCCTCTTAGCAACTTTATTTCTAAAAGTGGCAAACTACAACTCCAGTGACTTATTCAGACCATCAGGGGAAAGACAAGAAATATATTCAGATATGTTATATTGTAATTCATTCCCCCTGAATGCTGCTCAGAGTAATCCCAGCCCAACAGCAGCGGGACGTCTCCTCTGTTGCCTGTGGACAGTGTGTTCCTATAGCTTATATGTAAACGGTCCATTTGAGCTTTACTTCAAATAAACAGTGGCCCTGTAGTGAGTCTGTGATTATTTGGCTTAATAATAAAAATGATGATGATGATAATGTTCAAAGTGTGTGTTTGTAAACTTCTGTATAATCAAAGTTTGCATTTGCAGACAATGCAGTGTTTCTCAAACAGAAAGAAACTGTAACTCAATGTCTAAAATCTACTTTCAACGATCTGTACCGCAGCACGCAGGCTAAGCTCTACGTACGATAGTCTGTATACCGAGTTACTAGGTGAGTGATGAAGTTACACCACTGGCCCTGGCTAGTGTTGGAGGTTGGCCGTCACTCTTTCAAAATGAATAGAAAGGAGCGAACGAGCCGAGCTGTTCGTATCAGAGGCGCATTTCTCTGCACCGGTCAACAAGCTATTCTGCTACTCTGCACTTTTCCAATCATACGTACAGTTGATCTTTATAATTCATTTGCAATAATGGTCTGAATAAGGGGACCTTAAAGGGGAGAGCTTCTTTCTGTGGTGCTGTGGTCTTCCGCTCTGTTTCAGATTCAATCGACAATTATATGTGCAATCACTAACAGCAGTTGTACTATTTCCAATAAATACAGGTGATGGGCAGATAGTTATATTTCATCATGGTGGCGGGGCAAATGGTTAACATGGACACCGAAAGGCAGCAGGCAGCGCTTTGCAGCATTTTCGCCTCCAAACAGCTCTCCATAGGCTCAGAGGCAGGGAGACTGCACAGTTACAGCACTCTGACAACACACTCTACATGTGTGTCATAGAAAAAGATACTAGTTAGAATAAGTTCTCTTTCAAAACAAAAACATCCGAAGATACGAGTGGAAATTACTGTTGCAACTGCATTTAGCCTGTAACATTTTTTGACTCAAACGTAGCTCAACCATGTCGCGTGATCTGCTTCACCTTAAAAACAAGTATGACTGGATCGCAACAGGAAACTGCAGGTGAACATTTACACTTCTCACTGACCAAACACGGTCCAGACACAGACTGGCTTTGGACTTCTTGTTATTCTGTTAGAAGTGCAGGGAACAACTAGCAGAACTTCCACGGCGGACCAGAGTGAGTCAATGAAGTAACTACTAAACTAAACTAAACTTCACTCTACGACAACAGTTGATTACTCTGGTACAGTTTAGTAAATGTTAGTATTCTGAACTGAGGTAGACTATCTGCTGTTCGTTTTGTCATTGACCATGTTGTCATTCAGCTATAAGCACCACTGTACAGTACAGACTCACAGAGCTGCAGGCGTGGTTGTAGACTGGTTACACAAAGACATGACTGACTGCCATGTTGTGCATCATATCAGAGATCGAAGACACGGCCCTTCTTGACCTAAACTAAATCAAATTAAAAATGAGATAAAAAGAAGAAAGCTACCGTCTCATGTATCTAGCCAACAGTTTAATATTGTGCCACTTTGTCCTGAGCTCTAAACGCTCGGAGCCTATCCAGGAACACCAGACCTTTCATGGAGCCACACTTCCTGGTCTACCCCTGCAATGTTGAACACAGCACCAGTTTTAACACACACCCCCGTCCCCCGTGCCCCCCTCTCCCCTCCCAGCACTGCTAACATAGTGCTACCCTCAGCCTGTTCATTTGAATGGGCTGCTGACATGTCACTATTCTCTGGGACCTGAGCCCAGAACGTTCCACAGAGCTAACCTTCGGGACAGA